TGCATCATCCGAGATCGTCGGTAATGAGGCTGTACTTGCCGCGAAAGCATGGTGGGCGTGGCTTTCTGAGCGCGCTCACTATGCATAATCGTGAAGTGTGCAGCCTCCGTCATTACTTCCTGGCGAGATCGGATGATCCATTCTATAATGACGTCATTTCTAGTGATAAAGGGCTTACCCCTCTATCCTTGGCCAACGAGCAATGGCAGGACCCAGCAGTGCTTAGCATTTCCGACCGGGAGACCGTATGGAAGGAGAAGGAGCTCCACGGGAGGTACTACAGGGCTCTACATGAGCCCTTCGTAGATACAGTCGCCTCCCTCAACTGGCTACGTTTCGGTGACCTCTTCGGGGAAACCGAGGGTTTTGTCTGTGCAATACAGGATCAGGTTATTAAGACCAACAACTATCGGAGATACATCCTAAAGGATGGCACTGTCGACGTCTGTCAAGCTTGTCGCCATCCCGGGGAGTCACTTAGGCATGTCATCTCCGGTTGTTCGGCGCTTTCTAACTCTGAGTACTTGCACAGGCACAACCTAGTAGCCAGAATTCTACACCAGGAGCTGGCTCTGAAATACGGTCTCGTGGACCGGAAATTGCCGTATTACAAGTACTTGCCGGAAGCCGTGCTCGAAAATGACCGCGCCAGGCTCTACTGGGACCGGGCCATCATCACAGACAGGACTATTCTTGCAAATAAGCCTGATATTGTGCTGATGGACCGGGCACAGTCAAGGATATTTTTGGTCGACATTGCCATTCCGTATGACGAGAACCTCGTGAAAGCCGAAACAGATAAGCGAACAAAATATCTGGACCTGGCTCACGAGGTGACCGACATGTGGGGTGGTTGGCCGACCGAAATTATTCCTGTAGTCGTCTCTGCGAATGGGCTAATCCCAGTCAGCCTCTCGGGTCATCTGAGGCGACTGGGACTCCGTGACGGACCGCTCCGGGCTCAAATGCAGAAGGCAGTGGTCCTCGATACCGCCCGCATCGTCCGTCGGTTTCTTTCCCTTTCCCCCCAAACCCTCGGCCGTTTGGTCTCCCCTGCCGAGGGCTTCCATCTGGTTGGATCTTTATTTATTTGTGTATTTTTTGTATTTATTGTATTTTATTGATATTTATGTATATTTATCCTTCATTTTAATTTATAATTATATATTTATAGAAACCAACCAGATGAGAAAACTATACAGATACACAGATAATAATAATAATTTCTTTATTTGCTTAAAACATGGTGTTTGTAGGTGGTACAGTAAAATAAGTTCACATGTTTTGCTTATAATTAGCATGCAAATTTAAGATTATATTCAGGTAACATTTATTTCAAAGGGGTCAAATATATTCATTAAAGCAATGTCAACAAATCAATAATTATTAAAGCTTAATGTCAATAAATTCTTCAATGTCATACACTTTGAGTTCAATAAGCCACTTATAGAGTCTCGATTTGAATAAATTCATTTTGAGGTTTTTGATGTCATTGGGGATCTTATTATACACCTTAACACACATTGCTAAACAACTTTTTCTGAATTTAGCAGATCTTGGTATGACGCTTAATACTAATCGCTCCGGATTTCTTTTCCATCGAGAGTTTATATCTCTGGCTTTCTGAAAGAGCTCAGTATGGCGTTTTACAAAACAACTCATTTCAAAGATGTACAGTGCTGGCAAAGGAAGTAAGCCCAGGCTCCAAAACGCTGCTCTACAGGACTCGCCCGGTGGAATCCCACATATGGCTCTGGAGCATAAACAAAGCTGTTAATATGCTTGCATAAGGCCTCAATGTGTAATTTCCAGTTAAGATCTTGGTCTATCGTTATACCTAAAAACTTAGTATGTTAATTTCTTTAATCTTTTCAATATCAATGTTAAAATTGTATTTATCATATTTGGATTTATTAAATTGAATGAAATTTGATTTATCTAAATTTAATTTTAGATTATTTTCCTCTAGCCATTTAATAATGTTGTCAATAGTATTATTGATCTCAATTTCGTGGTCATGTATTGAATTGTATTTATTTGTTTCTGATGTCACAATTATTGATATGTCATCGGCAAACAAGATACATTTATGACCGGTAACTTTGGTTATGTCATTTATGTACAATATAAACATAAGTGGACCTAGGACACTTCCCTGAGGGATACCACACGAGTTATTTTTTAGGGTAGAAGAACATGTCACCAGTTCGCTATTTATGATTTTGTTAACAGTGACGGGCTGACATCGATTCTTCAAGTAGGATGATAGTCACTGTAGTGTAGGTCCTCTTATACCAATCGTTTCAAGTTTATTTAATAAGAGGTCGTGGTCTACAAAATCAAATGCCTTGGACAAGTCAAAAAATAGACCTGTTGTTAGATAACCTTCATTCAAGAGTAAATGTTGCTAAAGTTGTCGACTTATCTTTTTTGGAAACCGAATTGATCCTTACTAATGATGTTGTATGTGTTGCAATAATTAAGTATTCTCAGGTGCATACATTTCTCAAACACCTTCGATAGAATAGGTATAAGAGTAATTGGGCGTTAATTGTTGACGTCATTTTTTTTACCCTTTTTGTACAATGGTTTGACGACTGATTGTTTTAATGCTTCCGGAAACGTACCAGATGAAAATGATAGATTAATTAAATACGTCAATATAGGCACTAGTTCATCAATACACATTTTAATTATTCTGGTACTGATTCCATCAAAGCCTTCTGAGTTGGTGTTGTTCAAACCCATAATTTCTTTTTTTTACTTCTTCTTTTGAAGTCTGAAGAAGAGACATCGTGTTTGGTATAAGATTGCTCTTAGCAGTTGTTTCTTGTGTATTATTTGTCGTCAGGTTTTTTGTATTAGTCAATTCAATAAAATGGTCATTAAAAGCTGAGGCTGTGTCAAAAGGATTTGTCAATTGTTTTTTGTTTAAACTTATTTCACTTATAATATTGCCACATTTTAAACCACCAATTTCCTTTTTTATTACATTCCATGTCGCTTTGCATTTGTTTTTACTTTTATATATATATTTTATGTGTGAATTCCTTTTGGAGGTATTAATACATTTTTAATACTTTCGAGTAATTTATATATTTGATTTTATTGATTGCTGTTTTATTTCTATAATATTTATACCTAAGTGACCGTTTAGTTTTACAGCTTGTTCTTAGGCCTTTGGTAATCCAATTTTGTGTGTTCCTATGATTGTTGTTAACTTTAATTTTAATTAAAGGAAAACACAGATTATAAAACATGCACAGTAGTTCATGAAACTTGTTGAAGGCAAAGTTTAGACTCATATCTGCGTATACATCAGACCAAGTTATGCTTTTTAGGCACTCTCTGAATTTGAAAATATTTTCGCAACTGTAGTCCTTTCTAAGTACTGTGTATGTTTTTGGTTTTTGGTTTTTCATTTTTTCTTTGCACAGGGAAACACAATAATTGAGCTGTATCGTGGTCGGATAAGTATAAAGGTAATACCGTAGCGTTAGCGTCAATAATGTTACTTAGCATGTGGTCTATGCATGAGTTTTTGCGTGTTGGTACCTTAATATGTATTTTTAGGTTATGATTTAGACATATCTTGGAGGTAATTTGATATTTTTCCTTGTTTCAGCGTATCGATGTTAAAATCGTCCGTCACAACAACTTTTGTAACAGACTTACTGTTTCTTAATAATTTATGCAATAGTAGGTCTAATTTGTTTAAAAAATATTTGGATCAGATGTAGGTGTTCTATAAACGCATACAACCACTAATTTATGTAGAGGCATCTCTATGCCACAGACTTCAAAGCTCTTTTGTGTTGCGTACTTTTTTAGTTTTGACATTTCTTTGTAGGTACTATTTTGTTTGGCTAAGATACAGGTTCCTCCCCTCAGTTTATCTCGACAAAACTTTGTTGCTAACTCATAATTATGAATATTTAGGTACTTCTGGCTACCAGATTGCAGAAAAGTTTCAGGCAAACATATTAGATCTGGTTCATTCTTCATCTTGTTCAGTTCTTGTAATGTTGTTTCTAGTAATTCCTGCTTTGCCATGACACTTGCAATGTTTTGGTGCAAAATTTTAAAAGTTTTATTACTGTGAGTCACAAAAAAATAGCTTATCTATTTTTTTAAAATAACGCAGTAAGGTACTTTGAGTTAAACGCATTGGCCTATTGGCATTAGATCCACTAATAGAGGTATTAGCCCCCCGATCGAGTCCTGGAAAAATAGTATGGGATTGTTCCCTTTGGATACTGTACCACTTTAGAGGGAACTTTTTCAGGCGCTGGCTTACTACGTGCTATTATTTTTTTCAATTGTTTGGGATTGAGATATTCATTTTCGTAGTCAATGCAATCTATTACATAATTAATCGAATTACATATTTGAAAAGGATTCCTGTGTTTACACTCCACGAAATGACATTTTTGATTTTCATTACAAATTCTCTTTAAAGTTTTATTTATGTCAGTCACACTTAGGTACATATTTGTCAATAAATTTAATACAATTATGTCATTATCAGGAAAATATTTAAGAGACCGTCGTAGCTGTGATGATTTGTATTTTAATATCATAGTCGTTTTCGCCAATGCAGATTATAACTTTGTCTTTTGGTTTTAAATTTACGTTTTGAATATTTATGATAAAATCTGAAGACGGTGCATATGGTTTTGTTATTGCTGTGATAGCGTATTTCACGTATGGCGTGTTCACTCGAGACTGAATTAGGGCGGAGGCGAGACCGGTACAGCGCTGGGTTCCTATGATGTATAACCGGTTCTTGTCATCTTCTTTTTTAGCGCATACTGAGCTCGTGGATTTAGTCTGTAAAGGCATTTGTGTGTTGTCTAAGGCTGTTGTCAATTTCTGTTCCAGATTATTTATATATTTATTTAGACATATTACCTGGTTTTCAGTATATTTAAGCTGTTTCTCTAAGTCTTTAATTTTTAATTGGAGTGCCATGGGTGTGGTGTTTGTATGAGCTGTTTTTTTTATATGCCATAGAAACAAAACCCAGTGTGAGAGTGAGAAGTGAGAGAAGAAGATAATACTGACTGTAGTTTGGATCGTCTATTTCGTTTTTCGGAGCTCTGGCTTGTTTGGCTAACGTTATGTGAAGATTGGCATATGGCTGTCAACGTCTTATTTTCCTTTGTCAATTTGATTATTTTCTGTCGGAGATTGTTATTTTCTAATGTTATGTTATCGAATTCATTCTGTAGTATGTTATATTCCGTTCGGAGTCGGTTCATTGTGTCCTTCATTTCCTGTATTGCAATAGAGTCGGTTATAGTTTGGTCCAAACTTTTTGAAAGTGGTTTACGAAAGGAAACCACAAGCTCACTCAGATCGTGGGAGGTAGTCAGCACATGTGAGTCGTCAGGTTCGTTGGAATCGTGGGATAAAGTTAGTGCTTGTGAGTCGTCTATTTGATTTATTGGTGAGGCATTCAGTTGAGCAATGCTTGTCTGCATTGTTTGTGAATCGTCCAGATGTACTGACACACTTGCAGGTGCCATGTCTGAAGGTTCCGTCTCAGTTGCCATAAAAATTGCACTAGAAGTAGAAGGGCTTTCGTAGGATTTCTTAGCTATTTTATATTTCCTTGTGGTTACGTGGGATAAAGAGGAGTAAGGTGTCGAAGTCCCTTTTGATTTTTGGCTACAGTCTTTGCACTTCCATTTACTTTTAGCTGCTGCATCTTTTAAGCGGTATAGTCTCTCAGAGTATCCGACGCAATCAAATTCAAAGTTATTCCTGCATAGCGAGCATAACATTGTATTTTTTGGGTCAACCTTGCGCTTACATTTGGAACATGTAACTTGTAGTGTCATCTTACGGTCATTATCTGTATTTTTTAAATTTGGTTTTGTCATTTTGTCAATGAGAATCTATACAATGCGTTTAATTCAGTAATGTATTAGTAGATGTCGTTACTGTATCAGGGGCGACAGACAGTTGACGCTTATTCAGGGTATTTCTTGTATGGAAAGCAGCGGCAGCTAGTGACGAGTAGACATGTTACTTAAGACGTACTTATATATTATGTCCGTAAACATGAATCACTTTCTTCAATAATTAACTAGATGGCGCTTATTAATGCAATTGTTTATATGGAAAGTAGCGACGTCTAGTGATTAGTAGTAGTGAGATTAGATATGAACGTTATGATAATTCAACAGCTGATCTTTATTTATGTAAAGTTTGAATTTATAACGTCCGAATAATTAGAAAATTTAATTGTGTTGTCTTTTATATAGTCACTCACCGAGTCAAAATGAAGTAAATTCGTGTTGATTTATATTATCGTCCATTGTTCATGCACTCACACTTATATTGTCGAATTTTTATTCTGTTTATACACACAATGAAAATTTCACATAAACACATTTATTTTTAACGTTTTCACGTAAATAACGTTTGTGGCACTTTCTCTTCAATACACCTATAGTTTTAAGTTAGTTTACTGTGTAAATTTGATGTAATTCTATTTATTTTATAAAATTTACTACGGAGGCGATGTGAACCGTGGTGACACTAACGCCATCTCCTGACACTAACGCCATCTCTATCGATAATGCTAATACGTTCTCGTAGATACTTGTAAGCTGCGTTATTTTCTATTTAATATATATTAGTAAAAACTATAACGATTAACTGTATTCGCAATTGCTGTTTTAAACAAAAATCTGATCTTCTGATTTGGATTATCTGATAAATTATTTAACTGATAAATTCTCATAAAAACCATTATGAACTCATTAGTATTCTCTTTATCAAAACAATAAGTCTACCAAAACAAAAAGTCGGAAGTGCTGATATAAATTTTGCTTTTTTTTTCATTTTTCTGATCATAATCCCATGGAAAACTATACAAAACACATGTGTAATTTACAGATACAACCTTATTCACTCTCGGTAAATTCTGGTATCGCAATTCTGGATCATAATTAGTTGGAAATACTTATACAATCCGATTTGTTATTCACGTACCAGATCAAAATCATCAATCTATTTTCAATTTGTAAGTATCCGGAATTGCCATTTCAAAAACTCAATAGTTTATCATAACTTCAAATCAAACATCGTATTTTATTTGGATCTATCAGGCTATTTGCACGGGGTATTTATTTTCGTCAGAACACACGCAATTGATCTTACCAATTTGTTTAATTTTGCTAATCTCTTTTTTAAGTTTTACTGCGAGACTTAATTTTAAAACTAATTTTATATTTCGCTGAATTTTGATCAACTTCCCTAAAATAATTCCTCACATCACTTTGTCATCCGCCAGGAAATGGCATTCTGAAGAAGAAAATCAAGCAGAGCACCGGAGTCAACAGTTAAAAACAATAAAATTCACTTTTATAAACTTTTTCGTTTCATCGACGAAAACCAACAAATATTGATTAATTATAAAAATAGTCTTCTACTCTAATTATTTATGACTGATAAGTAAACTTTACTTAAGCAACACACGTAAGTACACAAGTGAAATATGTACATTTAAATCTAAATATTTTGCGTTATCATTCCATTATATATAATACCAGCTTGCCAGGCAGTCGTTGTTCTGCCCTTTTCGACGACCCTTTATGTCCAATTATAAATCCTTAAATTCGCAAAAAAAATATTGTGGGTCACTCATCAAAAAAACTATCCTAGCTCTCAAGTTGGACCAAACTGCACACGGTGTGAAAATTTTATTAAAATCGGTTCAGTAGTTTAGGAGTCCATCGCGGACAAACAACATGACACGTAATTTATATATATTAAGATTGTTGCGCGCCTAAGTTGGCGTAAGGTACCTGGTACTAGCGACATCTAGTGTCGGGGACCAGAGCGAGGAGGGCTTCCTAGAAAATGTCAATCTTGAACTTTCGACCAACAGCGCCATCTAGTATCGAACAGAAGAATTAAGCTTTCTAGAAGCCCCACACTCGAACTTTCTGCGTCTGGTCGCTCAGGCGCCCGTATTTACTGGAATATTCTTATGTTTCGGTGTAAAAGATGTATTGAAAGCCGTTGCACGCCGCGATCGGGAAAGTATTGAATTTGGCGAATAAAGCGAAGCTTCGGAGCGAAATAAAGTGAATCAGCGTGGTTAATTATTAGTGTTTTAGGTTTTGATTTGTGTTCTGTAATAAAAGTGTAAATTTTGGTAATTTAATCGGCAGTTTTCATTGTCACGAACCTCAAGCTCGTAACAATTGGTGTCAGAAATGGGATCAAATCATGCCGATTTTACCTAAGGAGGAAACGGAGATTGTCCATACCCGAAGTCAACGCCAGCAGGAGACGGACCAGAGAAGATTTGGTGGTGCAACGCCGCAGACGTCGGGGGGGCCAACTGCCAACCACGGAGGCTGGCCCGTCAGTAGCACACCTGAAGCACCTGACTTAGGTGCTCTCATGATGTTGCAGGAATAAGCCCGCCAGCAGGCGAAACAGGCCCACCGCCAGGAGGACCAGGTCCATCGTTTGAAAAAGCAGCTGCGGGGCAGACAAGAGGAACAGGCCCGTCGGTTGGAAGAGCAGATGCTCCTCATGAAGGACCTTCACGCTACCTTCAGGAAGGAGATAAAGGAGGTGAAGGATAGGGTTGCTCAGCATGACAACCGCCTGTCTGAAGCTGAAACCCAAATCGCGAAAGCTGGAATCCGAATCGGTAAAGCTGAAACCCGAATCGACCAAGTGAACAATCGGGTTGACAACGTGATGGCAGACGTGAAGAAAACGCTGGACGACCTCAAACTGGGGGATGGAATTACAGCTCCCGTAGTAGTTACAACACCTTCGCTACTTGGGTTCAAAGTGCCACCGTTCGACGGGACTTCTTCCTGGTGAGCTTACAAAATCCAGTTTGAAGCCGTTTGAAGGAGCTGGAATAAAAGTCAGGCCATGACTGCTCTCACACTAGGCCAGCGCGACCAAGCCTTAACTGTTATGGAAGCTCTCGGTGAGGAAGTGACTTATGAGCAGCTCCTTGAGGCATTGGAGGCGAGATATGGCGACGCTCAACTGGAACAAGTCTTTCAAGTGCAGCTTAAAGATCGCGTGCAGCGCATCAATGAAAACCTGCATCAGTGGGCTCTAGAGGTGGAGAAGCTGGTGCGAAAAGCATACCGGTTTCTACCTGCGCTCATTGAAGGGAACCTGGTGCAGACATTCATCGACGGCATCCGCGACCTTGAAGTCATAGCTGCTGTGAGGCTCAGGCACCAAGAAACGCTTAAGGATGCCTTGGCCCATGCACTGGAAGTGGAAGCCGTGCGGCAGGATCATCGTTCCCATCGCGTGAGGGAGGTTGCAGCAGCTACAGTTCGCGATCGTAATAAAGGATACAGCCCTAGGTGCTATGGCTGCGGGGAAAGGGGCCATCTTCGATCCGGCTGGCCTAAGCGAACCCTAGAAAGGGAAGGTGAACGATCTCGGGAGCGTAGTGCGGCCAACAGCAGCGCCCAGCAGCAGCAGGGAAAGGAGTAAAAGCCAGAACTGCGGTGCGGGTGCTGGCTGATGTGAAAAGAGCCCCAAGGATCTCGATCTCACAAACCCATGATGGGAACAGTCTAATCATCAAGGGCGAGGTCAACGGAATGCCGTGTAAACTGATGATGATGTGACTGACACTGGAGCCTCTCGTACGGTTGTTAGTTTCCAACTTATAAGTCTTGGAGACTCCGCATACAACGAGAAAACATTAATTTGGTAACAGCCACCGGTCAGCGTATACCCGTCCGTGGGAGAAGGAGATGGGGTTGAAGCTAGGCAACGTGATCTACCTGCATATGGTCATCGTGGCTGGTATAATGGACGACTGCACCCTGGGCCTAGACTTTATGAGGAATAATTGTTGTGAGATCGAACATCGCAGCAGGAATTCTCATGGCAACGCAGATGCATAGTCAAGAGGACCTTGTCCTGAAGATTGCAAACATTGTACTTGGCAAGAGAGTAAGGAAGTGGTATCCGTGAAGATGCTCAGGACAGACCACCGCAGCAACGAGTGGAAGGACAGCGTACAACATGCACAGCAGGAAGATCTGGACATCAAGCCGATTCTGGAATGGATGAAGGCCACTGCTCCCAAGCCTAAGTGGAGCGACATCTTAGCGATGAGTTCGACCGCTAAAAGCTATTGCATACATTCACTGACCGCTATACATATACATAAGCTTGTATGTATAGAGGTCAGATTCACACACATTTAAAAGTGCTGTTACATTATATGCAAAACGGCCATCGTAGACAGAGAATGCAATTGGATTATCAGTGTCATAGGGGTTTTTTTTTTTTTTTTTGCACACTTTTTTCTTTTGTCTTTTCGCCGCTGTCTCCCCATTGGCACGTGCCAGAATTTGTTTTTATTTATTAAAATACAAAAAAAATATAGAATAATTGCTGGAATATCCATTAGGAGGATATAATGAATTTTGGAGCACAAATTAACAAAATATATGACTAAGGTTTTGGAACGAATCACTATTATAGGGCCGATTCATGACGTCATTTGTATTGGACAGTACCATAGATATATAAATATGTAGCAAGGACAGATACACTGAGTTCTATATATATATATTGTGCTTGGTCTATGTTGACTAGGGATGTCGATGTTACAGAAACATCTATGTTGGCATCGTTAGCTCAACATTGATGTTCAATGTTTATCCTACTAAAAACGGTTTTTAATGGGTTAGAATAAGATAATAATAGACATATTGTACATAGTTTATTATTAATGAAATAAAAGATATTAACAAACGATGTACTTAGTTTGAAATAGTAGTTACAAAATAGAAAGATGTTAATAAATGTCTAGTTCATTTGTTATTTAGTCTAATATTTTTTGCTGATTGATTGAAGAGATATTAAT